GCTAGTTTAAGTAGTGCAAATTTTGTGACTTGTAAATTTTTTGTGGTTTGAGTTGTTATGCTAGACAATTTTTCATTTATAATGATATCTTGAGTGCATATGTTTCTATTATTCACATTTTTCTACTTATTTTGTACATATTTGAATATTACTACCTCATACATCCTTTTTAATACCCACGTATAAATATATTTTTACCAACACATATCAAAGACAATACTACACATATACTAATATTACCTACACAAAAAAATACTATTACCCACACATACCTTTATGATCCATGTAGTCCACTTCATTGACAACATCATCCATTCAGACCACGTCAACGGCCATGCCAGTTGCCATGTCAACAATCATGTCATCGACATCCCAAACAAATTATATACCTCTACCCACAAATAATTTCTATTTTCACCTACACATACTTATGTACGTAGGGGTGTGCACGGTGCGGTTTGGTGCGTTTTAGAGTCAAAACCGCAAACTGCACCGCATGTGCGGTTTGAGATTTTTGAAAATCGCAAACCGCATCGCGAAGGTTCTAAGCCGCATTGTGTGGTGCGGTGCGCTTTGATGCAGTGCGGGGGGTTTTGATGTGGTTTGATAATAATCTTTTAATATTCCATGTTTTACTTTTAGATACATTAGACTATATGTGTTAAGATCTTAAAATGTAAATTTTTATACTAGTCAAATTATTTCAGATTGATGAATACGTATTTTACCCCTTTAGATTTAGTTCCTTTTGGATATTTGCCTTTTGTGCATATCAGCAAATAGCTACTGTTTGAGTTTTGACATTTACATATCTAGATAGTATTAAGAAAATTAAGTTAAGGAGTTTCACAAACATATTTATAATACATATAATTGTTAGACAATGGTAGATTTTTGATATTTTGATCATTAATATATATATATATATATATATATATATATATATATATATATATAATATTGACTATGTGGTGTGGTGCGGTTTGAACCGCAGTTTTGTAACTGAAAACCGCATAGTGCGGTTTATAAAAAATGCAAACCCAAACCGCACCGCGAACGTTCAAAACCATATTATGTAGTGCGGTGTGGTGCGGGCGGTTTATGCGGTTTGTTCGATTTTATGCACACCCATATGTGTAGGTATATATTAATCTTTAGCTACACAGAAGTTAGTGTCGATAATGATCTATTTTAACAGGCATGAGCCAACATATAGTTACACTTAACTTATGTATAGGTAAAGCTGACTACCAATAAATACAAGGATTTTACCAACATATAATGTGTGTCGGTAAAGGCCCCTATTTCTTGTAGTGAAACTTCTTCATCGACATATTTAGATGAGAGATTTTTTCTATATCCTACCCTAGTTCAGAAGTCTTAGTAGGTTTCTGATCAACAATGGTCCCGGGAAGATGGAATATGTTACGATATAGAAAGCAAGAAAGATTCAGCCAACTAAACTCGTTATTGCACTTTTTGATGGACTCAGGATGACCCTTAATAAAACTCTTCCCACGATAACGAAAGTAAACCAAGCACCGTTACTACAAGTTCAAAAAAAGTCAATACATATTTGTTGTGTCACACATCATTGGTCGTTCCTATTGACTTTTTTTATAACAAATTGAAACAAACGATTTTGGATATAGAGTTAGGTTTCGGTTGGCAATTGTGAATCTTATACGCTTCAATAATTTGGCCAAAAAAAGGAGACAAAAGAACTCTCAAACAAACCTCGAATAATAAACATAAAACCCAATCTTACTAGTCAGAGGACAATCGATAACATCAACTGCGCCAGGGATAGAAGCACCATCTTCTTCGAGAAGATGATATTTCTCAAAGATTTGGAGCAAGCGATCGCTAGAAACACTTGATGTAAAAGCAAACATCATGGGATGAGACATATTCTCAAAAGAAACTAAAAACTGTAAGAACAGAAGGAAGAACTAATAGACAAGGGAAGGAAGAAGAAACGATGTGACAAGCGTTTATAAGGGGAAGAATGCGGGAACAAGCAACTACTGACAAATCAGAGGAATAGAAGGCTACGCGCATACCTAAATGTGTGTCGCCACTACGGATGGTTCTATACCCTTGCTACTTAAACGCCATACTTAAGCCTAATAATTAAAAACGATTTGACAATCGTCTTTAACAATCAGGTTGGGGGGTGGCTTAATGGTGTATGAGGATCTGTCCATACATAGAGATGGACCATCACAGATAAAAGCACCCAGCCAAAGACAATTAGCCTAATCATGTAGTAGGCCATAAATCTGTAACAAATCAAATTGACTCAGCAAGTCGGGCAACAAAAAAATATATCAATAAAATCATTTGTATGGATTCCCAGACAATATCTCGGGAAACATGGAAAAGACGACATTATTATATTGAAAGGTATTACCCTTGCAACTTTTGGACGTTTGCAATATCCAATTAGAAAGACAACAATTCGGACCAACTCGTGTGTATAAAAGAACCTCCGAGAAACCATTGAAGAGGTAGAACTTTCTCGACCCAAGCAATTTTACTTACAATCCTAAACAATATCTAACTTAGGCATCAGAAAACAATATCAGGGTCCATCCTTTTGTATAGCTTCCCAACCTAGCTTTTGTTCACCTTGTGTAGCGTGTCTTCCCGATTAAACATTAGAAGATATTTCTATCAACTGGCTATCACGTATCTGAAAGAGCGCATAACAACATTACATATATTACGAAGAGATCTTATATTTGCAAATAACTATAACAGACTATCTTCATCACCTTGGATGTTTAGCATGTAGTTTTTTTTCTTTCTATGACTTCAACATAGGTGAGATACTCATCCTCTCGATCTCGATCTCTTTTTCTCATTTGCACCCTTCGATCTCTGCCTGCCATGTCTAGTATCGTTGTTGTTGCTGATGGAATATTGTGAAACAAAACTCCAAGACTTACGAAGATCTCCTTTGATGTTTCTGTTTTTCAATGACCTGGCGACCTCTCTTTTTTATTTAGTTCTTTTTATCGGTGAGCACAGATGAAGACAACCGTGGAAGCAATAAGGTGAGTTCAAATACATCTCCTCTCTCTTCCTCAGACAGAGACACAAACCATTTCCCAATCAACGAAAACATCAAAATACTATCATAAAAAATTCTTCATTCCATAAGCGCAGTTTCCCGAACCCCGCACGTTCCACCTTCCACTTTTGTGACTAATTCTCTTGGAAGTTTTTTTCAGCTATGTCGTACACTAAAAAAACTTATTCATACACTTCAGCATCTTAACACATGATTTATGCTATCAAAATGTGGCACCCAAAATCTTGATACAAATGGGCAGTATCAGTTGAGTACATTGTTCAATTATGCAAACTAGTTTTTACATAGGAAAAAGAAAGTACATTGTTCAATTATGCAAACTAGCTTTTACATAGGAAAAAGAAAGAAAGTTATAATCATGCATGTTTGTTTTACTTCATTTTAAATCTTCCAGAAGAAGTGAGAGTCTCTCTCTCTCTCTCTCTCTCTCTAATTGACGAGACTCCGGTTCTGACGGTGTGCAAAACAGAAACGTTATTTATCAAACATCAAACATAAGCAATAATGACCAAAAATAAATAATTGGATATAGACATGCACATGATGCATGCGTAAATATTTTAAAGAGCTACATGATGCATGTGTATATATTTTACAAATAACTAATTGGTATAGCAACACGGGTGTTAAGGCCAGTTGTAATTATATATCACCACGACATAAGATAAAATGTAAAATATTGGAGGCAATATGGAACTTTATATATATATATATATATATATATATATATATATATATATATATATATATATATATATAGGGTTAGGTTATTTTGTTTCTAGTAACTATTGTGTGCCAGAATGCACACATCTGGACCATTGGATGAAATATAATCAAAGATCATGATCTGAGGGTCTATGATAGTAGAATAGGATAACATGTACCATATAATCACACAAATTTGAGCATAAGGGCATTTTAGTCAATTAACATATATTAAAAAAGGAAATTTTCGGATTTTTAGGGATAATTAAATCTTTTATTTTTAAAAATCTGAATATTTTAAATTAATTTAAAATTAAAAATCCGATTTTATTCTGTCAGAATGATAAAATTTTAACCATAAACTAGTTAATATATTTTTCGATTTTATTCTGTTAGAATGACAGAATGTCAACCATAAACTAGTAAATACATTCTGAAAGAATACACAAAATCGATTCTTGAACTAATAATATACCAAATAATTACATTGTATGATTGTGATTTATTGAATAATAACAAACATTCTGGAAGAATAACAAGTATAATTCTTAAAAAATAACAACATTCTTAAAGAATGAGTGTGATCATTCTTTAATTCATTCTTCAAGCCTTTCCTATCAGGTCTTCAAGCCATTTCTATCAGAAATTCATTGCCAAGTAGTTTGTAGTGATACACTTGTGTTTGCATTCTGATATGAAAAAAAAATAAAGAATAAAATTCGAGTTCATTCTTAAAGAACAATCATTGTAAAAGAATAAAATTAAAGCTTCCCTGCCTTTTTTGGTTGTCTATGTCTGATCAATTTGTAGGATTACATGTGAAGAATATTTCCCTTTTTCATTCCGAAAGAATAGTAGCTTTCTTCAAACTAAATCCCTCTTTATTCTAAAAGAATATTGCCCGCATTCTGAAAGAATTTTCTGGTTAACATTCATTTGGTAAAGCAAACAGGTTATATTATTGTAGGTGAAAATCAAAAATTATAAAGTTTGAAACCATTTAAAGCTAAAGTTTGCAAACCTTTAAGTATTACTCAATTAATTAAAATATTAAAAAAAAGAAAAAAAAAAGAAGAGAGCATGGAAGGGATTTGCTGCCATATCAGTCAAGCTGATGATGATATTCACATGCAAACAAACAATAAATCATCACAAATCAAGGAATGTGAATGCAATGGAATGGAAACATGGAATGGAGTCAGTCATTACCTTGAGAAGGTGCAGTAACATAATAAGCAAGACCACCAATTTCCTTCCATTTTCCCAACATATTAACCAAGAAATTCCCACTGTACTTTCTATGCAACAACTAAAAAGGAACAACAACAACAATATAAGTAATTATTCAATTCAACAAGTAAAGAAATAAAGAATAGATAAAAGTGTAATACCTAAGAGATGAAACTCAAGATGGTTCACAGGAGATAAAAACTCAAGATGGTTCACAAGAGATAGGCTGCTCCATTTACCCCTGTCAAACACCAAAGCCCAAACAACCACTTAGGTATATCGATTCTGTCAAGAATCACAAAAAAATGAAGAGGAGCCACCCAAACGACTGCCATGGTTGATGACTGTCCTGCTGCCTTCATTCTTTCTACTTTGGCTCCAATGTCTTCCCTCTTCAATCAATCAAGAACCCGGGATAACCTTCCTTTCTCCCATTCGATCGAGCAATGAAAACGCCCGATGTGAGCTGCTACTGCCGTCAGTTCCTTTCCTACTCCCTGTTCGCAGTGGGCATCCATCATCGACCCACCCATATTATTGCATTTCGTTCATTTTTCCCTTATTTTGATCGAGTTCTTTTTTGTTTTCTTTTCTTCCAGTCGAACTCAATAAACAAAACACTAACCTGAAGTCGCTAATCTCCTCTGATTCGCACCTCACGGCTGGAGTAGAAGAGGAACAGATTTCGCATATCCCTTTTGAGGAAGAAGAAGCGTAGACCTGCCTGAGCAGCCTTGTTGCCTTCGTTCATCTTCTCCTTCTCAATCAGGCGAGGATCGAAGTCCTTTTCCCCCAATTCATATTGTCGACAATGTAATAAGAAAATGATAGGAGGCAGAAATAGAATACGTATATATGAGAGGCTAGGGTTAAATAATTGGTCAAACAGTTTTTTATGGTAATTTCCATGAATTAAGGGATTTTATTTTAATTATCATGCTAAAGTTACATAATTACCCTTATTATAATTTTTAATTATTTAACTCTTCCTAAATTCCTATTGGTGCATTCATGCACACAATAGTTGCTAAAAACATTTGAACCTAACTCTATATATATATATATATATATATATATATATATATATATATATATATAATAAAGATTACATTGGTGAAAGAATAATTAATCAAAACAATTATATTCATGATATATGAATGGTACAAAATAGTGATCAGTACCATTGTATATAAATAGAAACATGGTGTGTTGTAGCCTTCACAACATATTCACATATCGATTATGGGTTGTTCACAAATGAAACCATCCATTCTTTCAATTGTGGTAACATATCTTTGCATTTCTGGAAGCTTTGTTTGTGGTGAATATACCAAGTTTGAGAAATTAGTACTGCCTGCGGGTGCGATTGGCCCTGGATCAGTCACATTTGGAGGAGATGCAGCCTCAGGGCCCTACACAACTATGACCGATGGAAGGATTATGGAATGGAAAGGTCCTGCCCTCGGTTTTGAGGACTTTTCTTATACTTCAATGGCAAGGTGATTTTTCAATTTGTTATCTATAAATAATAAATTCATGTATGGTAGAAATAATTCCATGCACTTTTTTTTTTCTTCAGGGAAAAGGATGATTGTGATGGTACAACAGATGATAGCAAGTGGTGAGAATGCGGACGGCCAGTAGCTCTTAGCTATTATCCAAAGGAAGACCTTTTGTACATTATTGATGCCAATGAAGGACTTCGGGTTGTGGACTCGGATGGTGGGCCTGCAGATTTACTTACGGAAGGGTTTAAGTATGCTAATGGCGTTGACGTTGACTTGTTAAGTGGCAATGTTTATTTCACTAGTTTGACTTATACTATTAGGTAACCAATCATGTGCTTTTTTTTATTATGTCCCGCTCCTTATTACCGCATTGTATTTAAGTACATTTCGTACAAGTACAATGATGTGATACAAAAGAATGAAAGTATGACACTGAAATATATATATATATATATATATATATATATATATATATATATATATATATATATATATATATATATAATAGAGTATATATTGTGCAGAGATGCTGCTCAAACAGTATTTTTACCCGATTCAACAGGGAGGCTTTTGCGTTACGATCCAGTTACCACAATCGTATCAGTTTTGATGAGTGATCTCAGGGGTGTGAGTGGTCCAGCAGTCAGCAGCGATGGTACATTTGTTCTTGTACCTGATTTTGATGGAACCGGAATTATAAAATATTGGCTGATGGGGCCCAAAGCAAACACATCGGAACTTTTGCTAAACGTATTTGGATCACCGCACAGCATAAAGCGGGCGGAAAAGCGAGGAGAGTTTTGGGTGGTAGTTTCAAGAAAGGAAGGCAGCAACTTTAGTTTTGCGGAGCGCTTCAATTCAGACGGAATAGTTCTGGAAAGAAAATCTTTTATTGAATTCGCCGATAATATAACTAGTGTGGTTCAAGAAAAGGATGGAAAACTTTATGTGGGCTCTTATTTCACCAATTTCATAGGTGTCTACTCTAAATAGATAGACACCCACCACACCTCTACCTTGCTTGCCTTGTACTACCAAATAAAGGTATATTAGAATAAAAAGAATGATTTCCTTTTTTATGTAACAACTTACAAGATACTCCCAATTCAAATGTTTAAACTTTACAAGATACCTCTTTGTCATAAGATACTCCCAGTGACATACTCGTCGATTTTTTTGGATAATTTCAGTCCTCTGTCGGATTTGTTGCTTTCTGTCAGAATTTCTAGCTGCTGTCGGAATTTGCCCGGAAAAACGGGTCTGTTGCCGAAGTACAACCACCACCGCTCTTCTCCGTCAGATTACACCACCACAGATAGAATCTGTTTAATTTTAATTTTGTATGTAGAATGTATATTTTGTATACTTATATGTGTTTGGTATAATCTTTGATGCTGGAAGAATGAGATTAATAAAATATTTATGAGTTATATTTTATGTACTGGTTAATAGTTTTATTATTTAGAAATGGTAGTTTGACCAAATCTATAGGTTAGAAGAATGGGTCATTAGATGTAACGGGTCTTTAGGTGTAGCATAGTTTAATTAAGGCCTACTTTCCAGCTTGCACGTTATTTCAAAGGCTATATATATAGTCTTTGTTTATATGAATAAAGTGGTGTGCAGAGATTGAGTATTTACCTTCTTCTTTGTAGTTCTTATTTTATTATTCTTTTGTCTTCATATTTGTGCAGTAAAAAAAAAGGTTGCAGTTTTACACCCTACAATATGTGTATTTGTACGGTTATCGTGTTTGTATATATGTATTTTTATGTGTAGTTCTCGTGAAACCTCCGTATTTGTTGTATTTATATCATGTATTTGTATTTGTATCATATATGTGTGTTTGTATGTGTATCATGTATGTGTATGTGTTTTTGTATGTGTATTATGTATGTATGTGTATTTGTATGTATAGAAAATTATGTATGTATTTTGTGTATTTGTATGCAATTTGGAAAAAAAATGCTATAATGGAGAAAATGAAACAAAAAAAAGTAGAATGCTATAATCATCATGACCTTAATTTGTAAAGTACAACGCTATAATTGAAAGTATGAAAAAAAAAAGTAAGATGCTATAATGGAAAAAATGATCATGACCTTGTAGAATGCTATAATGATCAATGACCTTAATTATCATTGGCTATTAATGTTAAGCCTTTTAAGGTGTAATAAGGAAATAACCATTAGTGTAAAATAACATTGGTGACATTGGTGAGTCTCATATGATGTCATGAGACAATACTCATTTTGTGTAAATATGTTGCTCATAAATTGATTTATCTTGGTGTTGTATGTTTTGTAGAATTCGAGTTCATATGGAATTACTTAAAATTGATACTCACTAAGCTTTAAACTTACACTTATTTTGTGATATGTGTTACAAGACCTAGCAATGTCGAGAAAGGAAAGAATGTTATGGAGTAATAAAGACTTGAATCAATAGATATTAGTTTTATGTTTTTGTTGTAAACTTTGTAAACCCGGCTCGATCCTTGTGTGTCTTTTGTATGTATGGATATTTTTATGACCACTTGTACTTGTTATTTAATATAAACGTACACCTTGTTTTGTTTAAAAAATAATAATTGGGTGTATTTTATGTTAAATTATTGGGTGTTACACATGAGGGAAAATTAAGCATGGAAATGAGGAGAATAACCAGCAACAATAATGTATAACTTTACAATTTTATTGGATAAACCAGCATATTGGGTACTAACATGTTCGTAGCTTCCTATATAGGGTTTAAGTTTACATTTGTATGCATTTGAATCGGGTGGCAATGGAAGGATCATGACTTTACAGTTTACAGAGTGTATATGGTCTCTTAATGATATTGTACATTTGATCTTTTGCTTATTAGAGTATTGAACTTTGAATCAAACTACCCAATTATATCACACTATTCAGTTATTTCTAGCATTTACCTTTTTTGTGATAAATGCAAGAACAACAATCTACTATTTTTTTTTTATGTTTGTGCACTTTTTATTGATCAGAATAGCAATGTGCTACCATGTTCAACTATTATTTTTTTATCAAGACAAAAAATATTTTTTGGATGAAATTATATAATGTTATATTTTTTTTTTCTAAAGATGTAATACGAACAAATATGTAAGTTTTGGATTTAACTTTATAAATTATACAGTAAGAAAAAAAACTTTAAAATGAAATTCAGTAATGGAAAATAAACAAAAGTTAGATTGTGTGTAGTGGTTCATTTTCACGGTTTAGTTCAGTTTCAAAACCGAAAGAATGGCGGTTCAGTTTCAAAACCAAAAAATATAAAAAATAAAACTAAAAATAAAAATAAAAAACAATAAACCTTATACATAAAATCCAATATACCACAAGGACAATTCTATCAAATTATTCATATTTATATTAATAGTAAAAAACCATCAACATCATTTCTGACCAATCACATTGAACGTGAAACCCATATAAAAATTATTGAAAGAAAAAATGAAAAAGAAAAATCATTAAGGAACCTATGTAAACATCGAAACAAAAGAACTTTATAAATTCGATGATATATTTTTTTGTTTATTTTTGAAAAATATTTGTGTTGTCGTTAATAGCTTATGCTATTTAGTAAATGCAAATAATGTCAGAATCCAAGTTATAATTTAATGTATTAATTCTATTATTCTTATACATTATTAAGTTAAGATCAATTTTATAGACATAACAAAATATGGAATTTTATATCAAATCCCTACAAGAAAAAATAGACCACGCTCAAGCCAATTTGGCCCAGCATTTGAGGATTAGGCTTGGATAATTTGGGCCTGGCCCAGTTAGAGCTAAGCTGTAACACTAACATAAAGGTGCACAAACACGGGTTTTAAATTGGTTCGGGTTAGGAAAACAGGTGTAATTGGTCCGGTGTTTTCGGAAGTGAAATTTTATTAAAAAATCAATTTTTTTCGTTTAAAAATCGGTCCGGGTCGGTTTTTTAGAAAAAACCAGTTTCAATTTTTTTTAAAAAATCTATATCAAACGGACAGTTCGGTTTTAACTAAACAAGTTATAAAAAACCGGGTCGGTTTTATTGGGCCAATGATAAATTAAAATAGTTAGGATTGTGCATCTCTACATTAACATGCCTTAATCTTTATTCCACCCCGACCTTCCAAACCATTCTACCACCTTTAAATTTTTTTTATATAAAACTTATGTTTTAATATTAAACTATAACTAAATTTTATAAAACAATTTGTTGTGATTTTCTAAAATTAGAAAGACGCTTATTCCCAATATGGTGCCGAATGGGTAAGAACATCACATCATGGTTGTTGTTATGACACTCATTCCCAATAAATATGACGGCTAATGATGCATACATTTCTATATAAAGACAAGCATCAATCAATGCTCTTTCATGGCTCCCTTCACATATCCAAATATGCCTTCTCCACAACTACTTTTGATTTATATTACATTTCTTTTCGTTTTTGAAACTTTTGTTTCTAGCCAATTCACCAATTTTAGTACGTTAGTATTGCCTTCGGGCGTCACCGGTCCTGAATCAGCTGCATTTACAGGACTTCCAGTCAACGGGCCCTTTACCACCGTGACCGATGGTAGGATTATGAGATGGAGAGGACCTAGAATCGGTTTTGTGGATTTCGCATTTACATCGCCAACAAGGTTATTTTTCAATTTATTATGTATAACTATATATATTTATGCCCCCAAAGTTGTAATATACTTATGCACTTTTCTTAATTTCTTAAAAATACGTTTTCAGAACAAAGAGACTATGTGATGGTACGACAGATCCTAATATGGGACCAATATGCGGACGACCAATGGCTCTTAGCTTTCACCCCGCAACCAACCGTCTATACATAGCCGATGCATATTTTGGACTTCTAGTTGTGGGTCCCCTCGGCGGGCTTGCAACTCAAATAGCCAGAGGGCTCAAGTTTGCTACTGGCGTTGACGTTGACTTGTTAACAGGAAATGTTTACTTCAGTGATGCTAGTTTGAATTATACTATCAGGTAACCACTTTGACTTCATCCGATACACCGGTTATAACATACAATATTACAAATTTACAAATATTTCATATATTATGTAGAGATACTACACAACCAGGATTTAGGCCTGATTCAACTGGAAGGTTCTTGCGTTACAACCCACGTACCAGACAGGTGTCACTTTTGCTGAGTGGTCTCAACGGCGGTGGTGGACCTGCTGTCAGCAGCGATGGGACATTTGTTCTTGTACCGGAGCTTACTGGCAATCGGATTTCAAAATATTGGCTTGCGGGGCCCAAAGCAAATACGGCGGAACATTTGCTAAATGTCACGAATCCGAATAAAATAAAGCGCGCAAGTGGATATGGAGAGTTTTGGGTGGCGGTTTCAGATGGATTCATTCCACCGGCGCCTCTCATTACACCTCAAGGGGTGCGGTTCGATTCAAATGGGCTTGTGCTACAAACAGTGTCGTTTGCTAAAGAGTTTGTCAACAAGACGATTAGTTTGGTTCAAGAACAAGATGGAAAACTGTATGTGGGGTCTCGTTTCACTAATTTCATCGGTGTCTACTCTAATTAGACATGTGTGTGTTGTACTATGAAATAAAAGGTGAAATGATGTTAAAATAAAAGGGCAACCTAGTATAAAGGTTGATTTCCTTTTTATAAAATTTTATAGTTCTATCCATTTCTGTATGAAATTTTTAATAATACTACTTTATAAACAATGGCTATACCAAGTTAGCTCTATGCCTAAAGTAATCACTAGGGGTATTTTCGGGTTATCATAGGAGTCGAAATTAATACAATGTATAATATGTTATGATTTACTACAACATGAAACAGACATAATGATGGTGTTGGGGAGTAAGGAAGAAACATTATAACTGAATCATGGTCATTCTAAAAGCACCAAATTCATATGCAGTTCTTGATTTTTTTTAAATATTTGATCCATTTAATACACATATAAGCAAAAAGATAAATTCTTATTTGGCTTGAACAGGTTTGTAGAAGTTCATCGAGTGTTGAAACCTGCAAGAAATCCTTCAACGTCTTCTGGCTTTGCATTGGAAAGGCCTGCATTATTATATATTAAAAAAAAAACTATTTCACTATACATATAATAACTACTTAAGCATACATACTATTAACTTGCAATGTAAACTTACCATTTCCACCAATTATCTTCAAGAAATCTTCATTCCATAAATGCAATTTCTGGAACCTAGCACTTTGAGTTTCATCCTCTCTTTCTGTCTTTAACTTCTCCACTTTTGTGCATAATTCTGCTGCAAGTTTTTGCAAGTCTGCAACAAACAATGGCCTCCTCAGAAATGTAGCATCCAAAATCTTCAGTGCATTGTTCATTTAAGCAAAGTTTTAAAGACTATTTTTCCAAGAAAAAATGGCAGGTTATATACAGAAGTAAGGACCTTGAAATGCACCATTTTCAGAAATTTGGTCAGATAGCTTTGTTAATTCACTTATTGCAGTTGCTTGATGGATGTTAATGGCAGATTGTCTTTCCAATGCTTGAATCTCTCTCTTCAATTGACCAGACTCATGTTCAGCCTTTGTACAAAACAGAAAACTTGTTATTTATCTAACATAACAGGGAACAATATAAACCAAGAATAATTTATTGAGTAGAATCAGAATTTTATTACCAAAGTAAGTTTTGTTCTCAAGGAAACCAACTGAGAGTCAAGATCAGAGATACCAAGTCCAACAACATCAACATCCATTATATCACCAACAGATGCCTCATCCTGAAGATTGTATATACACAAACATTGGAGATTTAGAAGTTCATATATATGTTGAATCACACCACATAAGATGGTGATAAATTAGAAGTAAAGGGATGTACATCTTTGGGAAGTGAAAATCCTTCTGGAACAACAAATAAGCGAAGAAAACAGTACTTCTCCCACATAGTCAATCGCTTGTCCAAGGCAGATTGAATTGTTTTTCGAATGTAATCCAAGCCCTAAATGACAGTTAGAATGGAAAAATAAAACCTGTTAACCAAATAATCCACAATTTAGGGCACAACAACTGAACCAACTAGAAAAGCAGATAGCAAACAGTTAAGGCGATTTGAACAACATCTGAAATAAAAGAGATGTGAAAAACAGAAACAGGTGGTAAACCTTGGTTAAATCTTCAGCCCTATCTGAACCATCGACCTTGAGTTGAATTGAAGCCTCCCTGTAAGAACACAGTTAGTCTTTTGCATAGTGAATAGTTACTATCAGGAAATGATGATAGAAACGGACTGATGAAGATGCTCGAAGGCGCTCGCGATCAATTCGTCGACGATGTTTAGGGCGGCGTTGATGAATAGCTGCGGGTTGAGGTTTAAAGAATCAAAAATCACCTCGCTTTCGCTGCCCTCCATCTCCACTATCTCTTCTCTTTCGCTGGATCTGGAAGAAACCCAGATTTCCTGGTGAGAATTTGGAAATTTCCCGCCGGATATAATCAAATTTGTTGAGGTTTGCTTTGCTATTTTAGAACAAAATGAATTTTGAAGGGTGCAAAATGAAAATTAATGAATATACCGTCCTCTAGTCGTGACTACTGAGAAATATTTGTCCCATAGTTAGTTTGCATTTGGTTAAAGTTATTTTGGAAAAGTTTTCCAAACAAGGGAGTTTTTATTTTAAGTAAATCACATTAATCGTTTTTTCGTCTATCCGTCAAAAAGCACGTTCACTTTTTATTTCTAAAAATTAATTTGAACCTTTTGTTTGGTTAAAAGTTGTACATGTCATCCTTCGTTAGTTTAAATTTACATGTTTTATCCCTTACGTGACATGCAATGACTATTATGTTTTTTTATTTTATTTTTGATTTATTTTATTTTTCTTACAATTAATAACAGTTTACAAAATAAAATAAAACTCCCAACTCACCCACCTTATCTAACCCCTTCCCTTCTAAACATACTTTCCCCTAAATCAAAATCATCACCATCGTAGGACAACCACACACCACTATCAACCACCGCGCACCACCACACACCACCGTCGTCCACCACCTCTTTGTCTCTCAAAAACTTTGTCGACGACCACTTATTCCCTCCTTTTTTTTCCCAGAGTTCCTTAAGCCACCATCGTCGACCTCCAGATCTTGTAGTCGGAGCAAGAGAGACGGAAACACCAACCATCACCACCTCCTCGTAGATCTATACTCCATGTCGTGGTAGATTCATTTTTTCCAAAGAGGTTAACAATGGTAGACTCGATTTCTTCAAGGTTGAAACTTTGTTAAGTTTGATTCGACACAAAACCATCTCCCGCTCGTATTACGCCGGCGGAATGTACCTCAGATCTAGGTGAAAGAACCCATTTCTCTAATACATTTACAATATTAATCCAAATAGCATGCATATTCATAAAAATATTTTACATATATGGTCTTATTACAAAAGACTGGATACAAACCGACTAACGAGGTTTTTACAAAGTTTTATATATTACATAACTTCCCAGGAATTTATACATTAAATACAAAAGTGATAATATTAACTATTCTGCATCTTCTTACAGTATATTATTATTCTGGATGCTTATCACCTGCAATAGTTAAACACTTAAACACTGAGAGGGATAAGCGGGTGACACTTAGTGAGTTCAATAACAGTTACAATATAACGTTATGCTATATATATATATATATATATATATATATATATATATATATATATATATATATATATATATATATATGACAGAAGCAAAGAGGGACAAAGAACAACAAAAGCAGATGAGTATCATATGACAGGATTTCCATATCAACGAATAATTTGATTCAAAGATTTACAATCAATGAAATACGAAAATTTTAACATGATATACATCAATAAGTGTAACACCCCAAAAACATGACCCAAAAAATTTGTTTAAAATAGGTAGTTTATTAAAACCATTTACTGGAAAGCAACATCGATATCATATCAATTCATAACCCATAGGTAAAATGTCATAAAAACATGTCATGGAATAATAATAATAATGTCAGAGTACAATCCCGTGGATCTCAAATGCGGAATCATGTGTGTGCGATGCGTAGCTACCGTGCCGGCTCCTTCCCCTTCGCCGAAAAGGTACCTGAAACCAAAACTGAAAACCGTAAGCACAAAGCTTAGTGAGTTCCCCCAATCATACCACATACCATAAACATATATTATCTATCCCTCGGTATCTTTCAACCGGTATCTGACTGGGATAATCGGAAGCTGGACTTCCCTTCGGTATCTTTCAACCGGTAATCGGGAACTAACCCCCCATTCGGTATCTTTCAACCGGTAACCGGGAGCTAACCTCCCATTCGGTATCTTCCAACCAGTAACTCGGGACTATTTCACCCCCAACCACTACCACATAACAACATGCTAAACGCATAATGTAACGCCCGTAGATCCGGGCTAGTCAATTTAGAGACGATAAGCATCAAAAATGACTTTTTGATGGAAGATTATTTAGAAGGATTAATCTTAACCAAGTTGTAGTATATGTCTCAAGGTTTCCGAAAAATATAAAGAACGCCGAAATCCGAGTTATAACGAAGAAGTTATGACCTGTCGAAGTTTCGCGACAGAACCGGCACGACACAACGCGACGTAAATAGTGAATTTACGATAGAGCGATATTTGGATTTAGCGATCTAAACGAAAGTCGTAGAATACGTTAAACCGAGAGCGTGCATGAAAAGAACGCCCAAATCTGACTTCGTATGAGGAAGTTATGATTTTTCGAAGTTTCGGCTTAGCAGTGTACAACCCGAAGTTCGAATATGAGATCGAGCGATATTTAGCCGAAACAATCTAAATGAGAATTGAATATCTCGTCGATAGTAGTCCAACGGTGAAAAGACAGACGAAAACAGACGTCAGATGAAGGAGTTGTGAATTTCTAACAGAGTTTTTCATGTCTCGGCCTACTAAAAATAATATATTAATAATATATTAAAAATAGAGTCAAAATTATCCAACGAAGTCTAAACTGGAGTTGTAGAGCATAATCTCACCTACGCGTGGATATAAAGAACGTCGAAAACGGAGCTCGTATGCGAAAGTTATGAATTTCTGAAGTTCGGGGCGCGAACCCCAAAACTGTGTCAGGGACCACGACGTGAAAACAGTGTTCACGACGTGAACTGACTTCTGACGCCTTCTGTAGCCTGACAGAGCAAGTGGACCGATGACGCATGCAATGACGTTTATGCCCACGACGTGGGAGCACTGTTCACGACGTGAAAATCGAGAAAACAACCCTATAAATAGATTTGAAGGGGCAGCCGTTTGTGGTTGCCAAATCTCTTCTCTCTCTCACCCGTATTACATCGATTTACGTGCAAAGAAGTACCCCCGAAGCCCCGGTATCATCCCGAGACCCGAAGCGAGTCCCGAAGCTCCGAAGATCCCGAGAAGAAAAGAGTTTCCGAGCCGAAGCTCTGCCCGCGAGAAGCCCGGTGTGTGAAGAGATCACAGTTTCACCGAAGAATTACTGCTTTAAGAGCCGTAGTGCTGTCCGATCATCGTTTTATCAAGTGAGTGTGTAGTTACTTTCTTCTAACACATAAATATGAAGTATTTGCTATGAAATACGTGCTATGTGTTTATATATTGTTTGTTTATTTGAGATGGTGTGGAATGAATGTTTTATATAGGTTTTAAATGAGTTAAACTGTATATGTATTTTGTATCTACAAATATGTTGGGTAGAACATAGGTAGATGAGATTGTTGGTGTGTGATAAAAGATGAGTTGGATAATGAGATAAAAGGGTGAAGAGGTTAGTTTTAGATCCGTGAGTATGGATCAAATCAGAAGGTTAGTTTTAGATCCGGGAGTACGGATTATGTATTTTTTTGAACTATACGTTCATCTGATAAGGTATCATGTGCATAGTCCCTTTCATGAACATGATTTTAATACAAGTATTGATTAAAGTATTAAATATATATGTATGTGAAGTATTTTTTTTATTGCCCGAAATACGTGCTAGATATATTTTATGATATGCAACGTGCGAATCAGTTACGGTTCAATATGTGTTAAGATGTGAATATATGATATTATTACTCAAAGCTCTGTGATAAGTATACACTAGTTAGTGTTGCCTAAACGGAGATAGTATCGAAAATTGATTATAAACTTCGTAGGATTGCCTAGTGATGGGTTAAGACTTAAAAAGGGATGTTTAGTTTAATTAAGTTTGGACATTGGGTAGCCTCTTATTAAGAGTACGTGCGTGGTGAGATCGATGATCGGTGAGTCTGGGGGTAAAATACCTCACGATATTCGGACCACGGCTAGGCATTTTTATCTAGATAACTACCCCTGACTTAATTGTGTTGTGGTTCTTTCTTTTACGAACGAAGGTTCGTGGTGAAACTTATTCCATTCCCCTCATTGATGTCTTTATTGATCCTCGTTTGCTGCCAGGGAATTTCCGAAGCAGCTTCATCAGTTTGTCGTTCTTATCGATTCCTTAGACTAGATCTCGTAAGATCATTGTGTAGGATCAGTATGTGGGGATCGATAGGATGGGATAGATTGTTTTAGAAAATATGATATATATATATATATATATATATATATATATATATGTGTGTGTGTGTGTGTGTGTGTGTTAATTAGTAATAGTGGTCTTGCTGGATTTAGATATATATTATTATCACATTGTTTTGAACTAGGTGTTCATTAAGCATTTTGAACTAAGTGTTCACTAGCTGTTTTTGAAATAGGTGTTCATTAAGTATTTTGAACTAAGTGTTCACCAGATGTTTTGAACTTATGTGTTCATCAGGTATTTTCGAACCGAGTCTTTAATGAATGTTTTGAACCATGTGTTTATCAGGTGTTTTTGAACTATGTGTTCATTAGAGGATTGTGTTCATTAAGTATTTTTGAACTAGATGTATTCACCAGATGTTTTGAATTAAGTGTTCACTAGGAGTGTTAGAACTAGGTATTCACTAAGTAGGTTGAACTAAGTGTTTACCGGTTGTAATTTGAGGACCTGGGCAGTGGTGGACTTTGTGTCAATTCCTTAGGTCAATCCTTAGGAATAAATGAAAAAAGGATAGTTGATTTTTAGGGTAAATCCTTAATAAATAAAAGAGATAATGGGGATGAGTGTTTTGGATTGATTAATGATTGAATATAATAAATATATTATCGTGGGTCGAAAACCCTATATGCTCACCAGGCTCCCAAGCCTGACCCACTCAGTTTTCTTTGCATTACAGGTAAAGGCACAATAGTATAAGTTTGTTGACTTGACGAGAGATTCTGGATTAATGACCAGTAGTTGTAAATAACTGCTGTAATGTTAAATTGTACTTTTTATGCTTTTTGGTCTGTATCGGAACATGACATCCCGAGGTTTTATTATTTAATGAAAAGTACATTCTCTTTGAGAAATGTTTTGATAAAGTTTTATCATATTTTGTTTGGGAACAAATTCCGCAACTGTTTTCTTTAAAAGATTACTCTGATTTTAAAACAAAGCATAAACAAATCGGTCTTTTCTGGCCGAGAAATTGGGGATGTCACACATAAGACATATCAGGTAGTAGCAAACCTATATAATTATTACAAAGACAATCATCTATCAACCAACTCCTACTAGTGGGCCGACATTGTGGCCGTAGACCCACTTTTGTCGGAAGGTAACTCACCTCGATGTCGTGTAGTGTCTGCACAGTCCTCGGTACGGAAATCCACTCATCTCAACTCCTCAATACCTACACAACAACCTCTATCGATTACTAATTCATACTTACAACCCTCCCTTACAAGGGTCAACTCAAGTCCAGGTCAAAATCAAAGTCAAACCCTAGACAAAGTCAACTTTGGTCAAAGTCGACATCCAGTTGACTCGACTCGCCGATTTGGTCCACCAACTCGTCGAGTCCCTATCCTTACAAAAATGCTACAATCCCAATTATATTCGTCGAGTCTAGCAAGAACTCGAAGAGTTCTCCTTCAACCATAACATTGGGACCATCTTCAACCAACTCGCCGAGTTTATCCTTGAACTCGTCGGGGTTCATCTTCATCCGTATGAATGTGTCCAGTCTATGACTCGCCGAGTTCTCCTTGAACTCGTCGAATCCGTATTCATGTGGTTGGGACATTGCCTTGAACTCGCCGAGTTC